GTGTCTTGGGGGACCTCTAAACCATGGCAACATGCCAAGACCGCCGACACCAATGCCAACTTCTTTGGGGAGAGGGCGCTCCTGAATGCCCGGGTCCCAACGTGTGCCTACGGATAAGCTTCCCAGCAAAAGCAATTCCGCCTGAGTTCCAAGGTAGCAGCCTCCAAAATCCTCCAGAGATCGCCCCACAATTCCGGTCTCAAGTGTGGTGCATCAAAGGGCAGAAAGCACCTTGTCCGGTTTATGAGGGTCGTAGGCCTAGATGGGCTCGGGCCGTTCATCATTAGCAGCATTCTTCCTACATTGTCCTATATAAACACACACAGCAACATAAAAAAAGAAAAAAATAATATATATATATATATATGTGGATATAGCCCACATCGAACCATCTGATAGCCTGAAACCGTAAAACCTTCAACCCAGGCTGCGCCTCACAGCGAGACACTGCAGCTCCAAACCGCCTAATCTCCGGGCATCTACTAGGCTAGACTAGACCTCCATTCAACAAGCTCAGGATTTGGCTTCTATCTCAAGTTGATACTTAACAAATATTTCCGGAGTGTTGCCAGCATCAAGGTCCTGTTCAGAAGGGTCCCCCAACGTTTCCGGCCGAGGACGAACCCCGGGCAGCCACCATTGTGGCCAAGAGTGACAAGGCTGGAAGCAAACTGCGAAACCACTCGATGAATCATGAGATAAGTGATTGACACTGATATATATATATATATATATGTTTATGTATTTATTTATTTATTTATACTTAGCATAGAGTATAAAGTAATTGGCACGAGACATATCTATATATATGTATAAACACATGTGTATGCATGCATGTATATATGTCTGTGTGTCTGTGTGTGTGTGTGTGATTGATTGTCTGTCCGTCCGTCGGTCTGTCTGTCTGTCTGTCTGCATGTATGTATGTATGTATGTATGTATGTAGGTGTGTATATGTATGTGTATGTATGTGTAAATATATATATATATATATGTATATATATATATATGTGTATATATATATATGTGTGTGTGTGTGTCTGTATGCATGTATGTATTCGACGAAGAACATGCGAGAAAGCGACGAAGAAGAAGAAGAAGAATCCTGAATAGCCTCAATCGTCCTTATAGGATCCTTTGCATTATAGTTGTGCTACAAAAATGCTGCACAGCCTTGTTTATTGTTTAAGGCCCCTTGTTTGCGTGTGTCTGGGGGCAGGCAGGACCTCGACACCCTTGAATCCTGAAGCCTTGATCCGGTGCCCTTTGCAGCTCCATCACACCTTGAACCGATTCAGGTCATGGTTCTGGCTCTTGATCGCCTGGGACTTTGTGCTTCCCCGCACGGGGCTTCTGCGGTTTAGAGTTCAGTGCTGGCTAGCTGGGGAGGAGGTGCTTTCTGGGATGCTGTGGCTGTCCCGAGAAAAAGGGGATGCGAGCTTTGAGCCCTTGTGTCTTGGCGCGTGAGATTTGGGGACTTGGGCATTTCAGATCTCCCGACGATGTGCCGTCCTTCCCAGCTTAAAGGACCTAAGCCGGGTTTTTGTGAAGAAGTGCTTGCAAAAGGTCAACCGCCAAGTCGAACCCAAAGGCGTTTAGTGCTTTGGCTTGAAAAAGGGGTTAGGCTGTTGGTTCAGGGTTCAAGAAGGCTGTTTAAGAGTACAGGGCTCAGCCCCGTTCTGCATTCAATTTTCGTCTCCATTGTGCTCCAAAGCTTCAGTGCTCCCTGGCTCTAGGTGAGCACTTCCTGATGGTTGTGTGGGGCGCTCGGTGTAGAGCCATCCAAGCCATCAGGAAGTCAGGGCAAGGGCAAGGAGTGGTTTCAAAGTTGGCTAGGGTGTTGCCCTGGAGTGCGACGCACCATCCTGTTTCTGTGCTTCGAACGACTATCAGTGCTATTCTGTCAGTAAGATTACAGGGAGTACTTATAAGGACTACTTCAGAGACATTGCCATGTTGGCTGCGGTATCATATATGGCTGTTGCAGTAGGTTCCAAGAAGCCCAAACAACTGCCAGCCCACAACGCATTTAAAAGGGATTTAAGGGGAAGGCCCGTGGATTACCATTACATTTTTGGCGTTTACAGTTTAAGATTCAGGCTTCATCCTAAGGCTTAAACCCAGACGGAAGGGTCGCAAGCCCAAAAGCGCACGCCTAAACCCTAAAACCCCCCGATGCCCGGAAGCCCTAAACCAGGAACCCGGATCAGCTGGTCCATGGCTTGAGCACCGCACTGAGACGGATCAGCTCCCTTAAGTCATCGGTCCGGATGTGAGATGCGCCGACGGTGCCCAATACAGCGATGCACCATAAATCACAAGAACATGCCCTACGTACAAACTGTTGAAGGTAAAATACGTTAGTCTCTATCGGCGGTTCGGAGGAGGGGATTCTCGTAACTCCTAGGGTCACTGAAAGAGCACAGGATGAAAGCTTCTGCTCCTTAGGATAGAAGGACTAGGGCAAGCACCTGCCCCGTTTCGACCTGTCCCGAGCCTTTCAAACTCTACAGCCCTGACGCCCGCAATCGTCAAGACCCGACACCCCCAAAAAGCACTCAGCCTTGGAGCCTTAGAGCCTAGAACCCTGAACCATGAAGCGCCCTGAAGCTTGAAGACTGTAGGCCCCTCAGGGCCAAAAACCCTCAAGCCTCTCAAGCTAGAACCCCCCAAAAGCCCAAGTCTCAAAGGCCCGAAGCACGCGGTGAGCTACGACCTGAAGGCCCTGCAGTACAAGGGCCTTTTGGGCCCGCCCCTCACTTGCTTCGGAGTGCCCTTTCTGGATTCCTTATATTGGTCTTCTGTTTGTTCTTATTGTTGTTGGCTATTTGTCTATCTTTATTGCACTTCAAAACTCTGATCATTATTGTTAGCCCTACCTGCTATTCTTTCCGGTTCTACGGCTCTCCCACACTTGAGAGCAAGTAGCACACTTCCGAAGACCGGGGTGTGCTGCTGCGCCTGACGGATCTCCGAGCGCGCGTGAGACAGAGGGCGGGTTTTGGGGGCTCGAAGGTGCCAGGGCTTAGGGTTTTTGAGGTGTAGGGCGGCTTACTCCGGGTTTATGGCTTGTCTTCGAGGGGTTTGGGGTTCGGCTCGGGGGTTTCTCGAGCTGTCGGTGGCGGTTAGAGCTTAGAGGAGGTCTGTGTTTAATGTGCGATGGTTCCCGAACTTGGTTTTGATGTGTTTCTGGCATGCCTCGGAGGTAAGGGGCCCGGTTGGAGTTTGATTCATTCACACACAAAATCATCTTTGTATACTCCCTATAAAGATGCAAGGTACTGCCACAAAAGCCCCCAACCCTATTCCAGTGAAGGCCTCTTCCATTAAAGCGTTCGGCCCTTCGGGGTTTGGTAGGAAGTTGAGGCTACCAGGATTGACGGGCTTTGCTATGTCGGACTTGCCGCTCCGCAGTCTGTGGGTGGGGGGGGGGGGGGGGGGGATGCCTGTTGTGGCTCTTGAGAAGATGTACGACATCCGTTTCTAGATCAGACGCCTTAGAAGACCCAAAAACACAGAGGGATTTCGATCATGATGGTTTCTGAAGCCTGGGGGCATAGGACTTTCGAGTCTTCAGTTCCGTGGGACGAAGGCTTTCGGGGCTTGGACTTCAGCTTCGTTGCTTCGCGGGACTTTGAGGTAGTGCTCGCAGTGCACACCCCAAGGTTTAAGGTTGACGGACAGACATCGTAGCTGCAGCCCTAAGCACTTCTGAGAGGACCTTGCATCATAAGGATTTGCTGAGCTATGCTGAGGTTGTGGCGGTTTCGGAACCGTCACACAGCGCAAGCAAGGGCCCCGGAGGAGAGAAGGGCAAAAAGCGCAAGGAAACAAAGCACGATCTATTTCGAGATCTTGTCGTAGGGAGTGAAAAGGTCTTCTATGAGGACCCACTCGAGCTCCACGAGCATTCTGCGAGGAAGCGTCTTCAAAGATCACAGCAACAGCAGCGCGTAGGTCAACAATACTGTTGGGCAAGGCCCCCGGTGCAGAAGAGTAGTTCGTAAGGACAGTTCTTCGGCCTTTTGGAACAATACGGTCCCAATGCCAGATACTTCTGTGAGCATTTTCAGACCATCCTCAAATCAGGCATCTGTGTTTTGCCAGTGGCTGCACGACTACCGCAAAAAAGTGAAATCCTAGAGTCTTCACGGCTCAGAGCGAGGAGCTCAATCTTGATAAGGCTCCGTTTCTCAGCACAAAGGAGGACAGCCTTGCGAATTTGAGTTTTCAAGGGATTCGGCTGTGAGCTAGTGTTCAACGCGGACTGTCGATTCGGGCATTCTTCAGTGGAAACGTTATGTCACAAGCCAGGGCCGAATGCTTTCATTTCAGGCAAGTTGATATCGAGGCCTCCTGAGGTGGCCAGAACACACAAATCAACTATTTGTGGTTTGGGGGTTTACCTTGTTGGCACCACGCCCGGAAGGTGCACGCTCACGGGCAACCTTTTTGCCTTGAAGACGCTGTCCAAAGGCCAGGTTCGCTCGTTCCCGAAAGCCGCACTGTAGCCTTTGTGATCTGTGGCGTCTTAGGGGTGCTGGCTCCAACATGGCCTGGTCCTCACCTGAATAACTGAGCATCTTCACCCGCTGTACAGGCTACATCGTCCAGCAGCGGCAGTGGGCCCAGTGCTGTCAACATGTGACGGACTTGTTGAGGTTCCAAGTCTGGGACCACTGCGATGTCCAAGAGAGAGCTTCCGCAGGGGTCGCCGCATCTCATGTCAAGCTGTGTTTCGGTGGCAGCCACCCTCAACCTACCCTGAACCTCAAAGCTGGCCTATCCGCAGAAGTTGGTACAAAGAAAAGATGAGTGGCATAGCCTTTCCGCCTGCTCTACAGCCTGCATGCCACGGCATGATGCATTCCAGCCTTGGAGTGGAAGCCCTGAGTAAGTTCCGGAATCCGAGACCCACGATCGCGGGATTAAGAACGTGTCGAGCGACCAGTACCAAACAAGAGACCATTGTGCCCAGCAACAGGCAAGAACTCGCCGTCATGAATGAGAAGCAGATTCTCCGCATGACCAACAGCCCCTTCATCGTCCGATTGGCTGCAACCTTCAACGGTGCCGCTGGTTTGTCTTGAAGTTCATGTTTCAGGATCTGGGCCGTGCTGTAAGGCATACACGATCAAACGTTTCCTGCGCGCGGGTAGGAGACATATGCCCACACATTGGTTGGCCTAGTAAATAAGTGAACAGTTTGCAACAACCCCCAGTTAACCCAGTGTACTTTGCTCCGGAACCCTTTTGACTTACTGGTTGTGCCCGCTTGCCAGTCTTGCTACTGAGTGAAGCTTGTTCCCGGGAAGTACTCCCAGGTGAGTAATAGCAGACAGCGGTTGGGCAAGATGAAAGGCTGGTAGGAACTTCAAATGGAGGCCCCAAGGCCCTGGTTCGCCACCGAAGCTGGACACATCCGAGTTTCGTCCATCTCTTAGCCAATCAACCCTGAAGCTAAAACCCGGAAGCCAGAGCCACAAAGCATCAGCATAGCCAGCTGCTGCATCACTAGTAATGATATCCTTCTAGAGTCCCCCGTACACCCGAAAAATCCCAAAAAGAAACGTCATCGTAAGGCCCCCACGAATCCCTCCTTCAAAGAAAGCTCAATTCCAATCATGTCGGCTCCTATTTTCAATCAAGAACGACCCGGCCCTGAGCCCTAAAACGCTGGGGGCACCAAGCCCAAAAGCCGCAAAATGCACAATAAAAACAAAAGAAGCTTCAGCAAAAACACAGCGCGCCACCCTAAATTCTAGTCCTGTGCAGCTGAGGAAAAAGCTCCGTAAACGTCTCGTGTAAATCATCAAGGCCCGTAGAATAAGCCCTTCGCCAGAAATGCAGTACTTGCACTTCTTGCTGGAGCCGGAAGCTCAGTCCAAGCCGAAGCAGCAAGGCCTCAGACTCGCTAGAAACCCCTATTATCTTGGTAGCTGAATTGCTACACTTTAAACTTTGTCTGAAAGTGTACACATTTGTATGCTTTTGAACTCAACAACCAAGCTATTACAGCTTAAAGGCTTAAAATTACATTGCCCCCACATCCAATGATGCTGGATATCGGCTGAAGGTCCGGTTTTCGAGAGAAGGTGGCTCCAAACCTAGGCCCCAAGCAGTCGGAGAGAGTCGGTGCTTTTTGTAATTCAGGCTAAAGGCGTCGAAAACTGTTCAGAACGCCGGTCCCCAACATTGCCCCATGAGCCAGGCTCCCTTTTGGGTTAGGATCTCCTTACTACGGAAACCGTAGTCCGTCGAGCTTTGAGTTCAGCTTTCCGTTTCGTCGCAGGCTCCAGAGCCAGTAAGGCAGAGACTCGGTTCAAATTTTCTGGACTTTGGTGGCCTCACGCCTCACGCCCACTTTGCACCACGCATCCATGATGAGGCCAGCCATGGGTGGGGACCTTTTTACGGCGCCGGGCTTACTTGCCGACCAGGGGCTGTAGCTTTGCGGCCTGCGAGTTCGGGGTCTCTCTCGGTGGCTGGAGGCCGCTACATATTGTTGTTGAAACTATACTGAAGAGTCTATTCTCCTCGGAGCAACTTCAGAGCTGCACATTTGGCAGTTCCTAGCTATGGTTTGTTCCAGGATCCCACAAATGCACAACTCTAAACAGAAAGCTGGCTGAAAATGCGGAGAACATGGAACAACCAAGCCAGGCGCGTGTTCCAGCTTCGTGCTGCGAGGTATTCATGGAGATCGCTCTTCTTGCAAACGCTTTCCCTTAAACCCGAAACACCATAGAGAGACCCGATGAACCCGCCTGTGTTGCTTCAATGGGGCTGGGTGTAGCCTTCATCTCACCCTTCTGGAAAATCTCCTCGGCCGGGATACGATTGCCAAGCGCACGCCTTAGCCCTCTGTTCCAGATCGACACTGAACCCTTGGTTCCCGGAAGCTCTTTCAACCCCCAACCGCTTAGTGCACGCGTTTGAATACTTTCTTCTGCTGGGCTTCCCAACACTTTATAGTACAATATACCAGTAGAGCACATATTCAGGCCTCTGTGTTTGGATCCCCTAAACCTCGAACCACCCAGGTCTACTCCAGAAAACCGCTGCATGGGTCGGCGCCCCATGCGCGCTTCTATGCCTTGCCCCCGGCTGCGGTGCTGCGGTCTTTCTTTGGCGACAGGTTGGGATTTGGCACTCTGTTTGGGGGCTTGAGGTGTCCAGAAGACGTAACTGCGACACCGGCACCGTGAACACAACCATCATCATCCTCATCATCATTTCCAGAACCAACACCATGGCACGTCGTCTTCCAAATCCTCAGGCCTTTGGCCATCATCATCTCGATCATCTTCATGCCCCTTTGTCATAACTAGATTCTTCATCCTCCGCATCCTCATGGGGCATCCTACTCGAAGTCCTCATGCTTGCCTTGATTGCCATAGCAATGCTATGCTGGACTTCAAACGTCCACATCACTCACGCCTGGCAGGCTTCTGAGCCCATTCTCTGAAAGCTTTTACACGAGGAACCTGTCCAAGAGAACTTGACACAGCGGAGCCATCCCGTCCAGCTGAGTCCGCTTGTGTCATCCGGGCGTTTCAGCACCTACATCAGCGGCACATCATCTACCGCGACATGCAGCCTGGCAGCGTTGCGGTGGGCTTGTGGGGTTCACATTCGGGATTGGCAAACAGCCGGGAAAGGAACATACACGGACACGCTGTCATGTGTTACGGATACTGGCCCTTGGCAAGGACTGCACTTGCAACAGTGTGTATAAAGGGACCCGACACCACGCGCCAAAACTTGCAGACACCATGGAAGAACTGAGCTGCCCCAAACCGAAATCCCAAAGCTGGCTTCTAGTTTGAGCCTGAGTTCTTGTCAGCAAGGAAGCCCGAGAACCTCCTCTTGGACTCGAACGGGTACTGCAAGGCCAGGCCTGGATTCTGTGTTGGGCTCCTTGGGTTCGGCTCTGGGCTTAACCTCGTCCTTGTTGGCAGTGGCCTAGTGCCCGTAACCACTCCTGGCGCGCGCCACATGGCTCAATCAACTTACTTATACCTTTCCTGTCTCTTGAAGTTCATGGCAGTACAGCCAAGCTGGTCCGACGCCCTAGAGCTTTTGAATTCCAGGTGACCGACTTCGGCTTAGCGAAGTTCGTCATCGGCCATGAGCTGAGGATGGCTGTTTGCAGATGACTGGAAGTCAAAACTACTCGGGGATGACTTCTTTGGGTTGGGAATTTCGGTATTTGGGCTGAGGTTGCGGAGCTCATGCTTCTTGGGGTTTAGGGCTTAAGGCCTAGACACCAATATGATCCACAAGAAAACTCCTAATGACATCGACGAAAAGTTTTATTTCCACGTGGTGCTCGCGTTTCGGGTGACTGCATCAGTGCGTGTCTGAAGAGGAGCAGAGAGAAACCCCGAAATAATGGACTTGACCTGTTAGTGCCCAACCTGCTCGGGATGTAGGGTCCGGCGGCCTAGTATACCCCAAACCCGGAACCGCTGTAGTCGCTTCATTGGAATGCTAGGGCTTTCAGGTCAGCTCTTACATGCTGCATGCTGTCAACATTGTAGCGAAACCTTCAAATCCTAAAATGCTAAACTTCATAAGCTGAAGCCCGCAAAACCGAGAGAAAAAGGCCTGATCCTTCAGACTTAAGCCTCGAGCGAAATCTACAAGGATTCCACACGATGCCTTGCCTGTCCTCTGCAAGGCCACACCTACACAACCTGCGGCACGCCGGAATACTTCGCACCCGAAATGGATTGGCGGCTCAGGGGTGGAATGTTGGGCCGATTGGGTTTAGCGAAGTAGCAGAAAGGGTCAGAATACGGAACATCAGAAGTGCTTCCTTCTACCACGGCCGTAAGCAATGACATTATCAACAACCGTGGCAAGTGCAGAAGAGCAACAACAGAGGCAAACCAGTCTTAGTCTAACGAGGTGGCTGAATTATTACAGAAACTGGAATGTACATGCTGCGAAAGAGCTACTAGACTAGACAAAACAAAGTCCCAAGCATGCGTACACACCTACTTGTAGCACAGTGGTACACAGTACCCGTGAGCGTGAACGCTACCTGTGGAGACCGTCGCATGTCCCCCTTACTAGATCTGTACAGGTATATATGTGGCACATACATAGAAGTGAACACACACACACAGATGGTTGCGTAGTGCTGCAGCTCCATGTGACGGAAGGCGCAGTTGCATACCGACAGACATCAGGATCCATGTGATGTAAAGTACTGTGATTGGAAGGTGGTGCGATGTGATCTATGTGCGATGCACAAACCGAGGTTTTGCATGTGGGCCACAACTCTGCAGCACCAGCCCAAGAGCTGTTGGAGGTATTCTGCTTGGTTGTTCGACGTTTTAGACCTTTTGAGGGCTCTGGGGTGTTTGGGTTTCGAGGCCTGATTCTGGTCAGGTTTGCGGTGCGGTTGCCAGCTTTGCTCCGGTGATGCTGCTGAATTGAAACGTAAATACACAGCATGCTTTGAGAGGCCTGCAATTAGAGGTTTGGGGTTGCAGTTGAGGATATGAGGCTTTGCGCATGGCCGTGGGGAAATTGTAGAATCGCTACCTTAGGGGATCCTCCGACGTGATTTCTCCCTGTGGGTGTATGCTCAGAAAGCAAGGTCGGTCTTCTCTGTTCAGGAGCTTTGTCGGTGTCTTTAAAAGGAGGGACCTCGACAAGTCCTACATGTTGAATGAGGGTCGTCCCAGAAAAAAAGGGGCCAGGGACACATCTGGAATCTAGGGCATGCAGCGCTTGTCGTTGCGATTGACTCGTGTTGGGGTTATCAGGTTACCAGACTGAGCCTGAGTGCAGTAGTCAGAAGCACATCTCAAAATTTCCGATCTGCAAAGATGCCACGATTCAGGTGGACTGGTGGGCGCTGGGGGCATCTGCCTCAGAGACAAGAAACGAGCCCAGGGCATCGTCTTGGGGGACACAGCGTCCAGTCCCCGCGTGAGTCCGGGGAGCATGCCGGTGCGGCTTGACTCATGCATCTTTGTTATCATGGCGCTTCATAATGGTTTAAGAGCATGCTTGACCACATGGACTTGCCCCGTCGAAAGCGCAAGAACTTGGATTGAATCATGCGAAAGCAATCGAAATGAGAGTGTTCAACTTCCATCCAACCACTTGATCCCACGCCTCGAAAACCTAAATGCCCCAGAGCCCGTGTTCCGCAGTGCTCGAAGCGTCAAAACCTGGGCACCTCTTCGTGTTTTCGCTTCAGGTCCTGATCTACGAGTGCATGACTGGTGACACGTGCGGAACTTGGATGGGTCAGTCTCGTTATTGTTCCCAGCACTACTACTGTAATGATCGTTGGCATCGCTCTAGTTGCATTCTTGCGTTTATACTACCGCCAATCCGACCGGTAAGCCGGCCTAGCAGCAGGTCGACTGTTCTGAACATTCTCACGTGTGACAGTTATTGTTCTGTGTGGTTGTCGTTATATCATTGTTACCTACTTGTTCTTGCTGTCAGCACGATGGCCGCCATGTCGTTTTCCATGCAAGCTGCCATGTGGGTTTCATGTGCAGATTTCAGAGAGGCATGTTGCTTGCCGGTTATGGAGACATTTCAAGAAGTGCTGAGGCGCTATAAAGCTGGAGACCTCAGGAAAGGCGTCCCCGAGCCTTGATCCCGTCTCTGCTGAGGCCTTTCGCGGCTTCGGAGCCGATTTACATCTTCCGACAAATTCAGGCTGGAATTCAGGCTGGCGGACTTTCTTCCAAAGCTTCTAACCTGGGGGTCGGAGATGTTCGAGGCTTCTCTTAGGGTCCTTTTTTTTGCGTCGGGGTTCAGGTTGCTTACAAATTCCGGTCTCCGAAACCAGATGATGCAGAGTGCTAAAAAAGGGCTTGGTTCTTGTTGACAGCTTGTATCGCCCACATCCTGAAAGCCTAGGGCCTAGGCCTGGAATCTCCAATCCAATGAGCATGGGACTTGCTAGGGATGTGGGTTTGGCTTCATTACAGGGGCGGAAGCTTTGAATGAGCGTCCCTTGGCAGCACCTGCCTGCAGCAGTAAGGCGAGTACTCAGTGGGGCATAAACATGGCGTTTGGGGCCTAGGTGTTCCAATGATCCCCGAAAACCGCTTCTCTCGGAGATCGGCAGGCCGCTTATTTTCCGAGACCGATCGGGCCGTGGGCCGACTTGGTGAAGCAACTTTGCCACGAGGCGGCGAGCTGTGAGGCTTCAAAGGTCTGGGGCGGGCGGAAGAACGGTTTGATGCGGGGGTGTCCGCCTTCCGGTTGTCACAGTTTCGTTTAGGATGTTGGTTGAGACTTGCAGCTTAATCTCTTTGGCCCTGTCGCAACGGTTTGGCTGCTTTTTTCGGCGCCCTTGAGCTTGTCACAACCCTCTGACCCTGTTCTCCCTCTCTCCCGCCCGCTTGCCCTCCCTCCCTCACAAACCTCTCGCAAATTTTGTAAGGCAGGGTTACATAAGCCAAACAAGTACTATAGCACAACTGCCGTTCATCATGGCCAGTTGCAGCAGTAGTATCATGATCATAGCCGGCATCATCTTGCAGCCACAGCATGACACATGCAAGTACGCACACGCAGATAGAAGAAACACATGTACTTCTACATGTAGAGAAGGACACGTTGCTGTGTACATAAGTAATATGCATGTATGTATGTATGTATGTATGTATGCATGTATGCATGTATGTATGTATGTATGTATGTATGTATCGATGCACATGTCACACACAGCATGAGATCATGTTACGTTATAAAGGAACTTGGGGGTGCGTGCGATGCTCTGAGATGCACGGAGGCCGCCTCGGAGCGCCTGCCCATGCGGCAGGGCGGACTCGCCAACCTCGAGGTGAGCGCAGGGGGTGTGGGGGGGGGGCTTCTTGGGGTCCCAAGCTTTTGAGAATTAAGAACGGTATGAGGGATACACTCAGTTGGTTCTTGAGGGCTTCAGCCTCAGCGTCTTGACAGTTTTTGGGCTGAAGGTGTTTTGGGAGCTTGGAGTTTGGGGCTTGAGGGTTCAGCAGGTTTTGCGTTTAGCAGCTGATACCCGATATCCTTCCAGAGGCTTGAGAATTGCAAGAGAACCGGAGGGCTGGATGAGGGCGAGGGCAGCAAGTGGGCTCTTTGGGCTATGCTCTCAACGTGTTTGATCCTGTCGTTCATTGATTCGAGTGTCCGCTCGACGCCGGCAAGTGCGTGCACGCCAGCCGTCCCAGTATTTACACAGGATCCGCGTGGGGACCTTGCTAGCAGTGCCGCCGCGCTTCCAAATCCTCTTCATCCCGCCAGCACTTTGGGGAGAGTACTTCGGTAGTCCTCGTGGTCGTGGTCATCACCGTCGGCATGGTCGTTGTCGCGCTGTTTCACTGTTTGGGGATGTGCATTGGCATAATCACTGGGAGACCTTTGAGCGTTTTGGCTTGGGTGTCGGATCCATGTAGCATGTTTGAACTCTGTGTGACCGTAGCTGTTGAAGGTCCGCTGCAAGCACGAGCTGCCATGTAGCAATCCGGAACATGAAGGTGACGACGAGGATGGCACGATGATAATGATGAAAGTGCTGCTGATGATGGTCAAAGACGTACACGTTTCTACTCCTTGCGTGGCTTTGGGCTAAGGTAGCATCGGCCTTTGAGACGACCTAGGTTGCTGTACTGCTACGTACACATGTGATCCCTTCCCCTTTCCGATCGCCGCCAGCAGTACAAGTTTCACTGCCAGCGAGAGCACTCTTCTTTCTGCTACAGACCATGGTGGTTGTTTGTGAATCATAGGATGTCCTTCATGTTGGTATTTTGCTCTTCCCTTTGTGCAAACCCCTGCTTCCATGAGTTGACTTCAGAACCAGCAGGCGCATGAGTGGTACAGAGACTTCAAATGGGAGCAGCTCAGCGCGCGAACCTTGAGCGCCCCGTGCTCCCGCGAGTCTTTTCGTCTTGAAGAGGCCCTAACCCTTCACCCCGAGCTTAGGGCGCTGATGGAAACCATGAGAGTGGGCAGATATCGATACCAAAGAACCATAACCTTTGACCATTGTAGTTACGGGGTAAACAGCGATAGCGGTGACGGATATGCGAAAACCTGGTTCATGCCAACAAAAGAGTTATATATGTAGGCTTGACTTGTGAGATTTGTAGTCCAAGCCGCAACGACAAAGGGACTCCAGTTATAGCTTTCGGGATTTAAGCCGTTCTAGATTTGTGCAATGTTACCTGGCGAGGATGGACGCCTGGGTCTGGGGCTCACAAGCAGGCCCTGGTTTAAGTTTGGGGGTGCGTTCTTCGACCCGGGCATGCAACATGAAGTGTTACAGGCCGAGCATTCGAAGACCCGCAAGCCCCGGCATTTTCAGGTTTGACAACTTTTTTATGCCTTTTTCGGGAAGCTGACACCCAACGAGAAACCGCCTCAAAGAACGCAGTAAGCTTGGAACTTTTGGTTATGGGCCAGGTACATCCCCCCATCCGGATCCGAGAGCCTTGCCAACTTCGAGGTGCCGTGCTGAGCCGAAAGGAAGAGGATCTTTCGACCCTGGCTCCTTCGTAGTGTTAGGCATGACAATACCAGGCTGTCGGTGAATAAGATGCAACACAATGTTGTGGTCTCTGACTCCGCATTATCAGAAATCGGCATCAAACTGAGTACTGATCTTTCTTACGTGGTTGAGCTTTGCATCGGGACCGTCCTGAACGCAGTCATATTGATGGCGACGTTGGCGTTGGATAAGTAACGGCTACTAGCACGTTGTAACTGTAATTTTCTTCTCACCATATGCTAGAAACCAACCCTCGGCCAGATGATGACAACAAGATCCTTGTGAAACACAAGGGTGTTGCGGTACTTCGTAGATGTAGCAGTAGCAGTAGTGGGCAACCCTACTCACAGCCATCGTCATCTTCGCCTTTGCCTTCATCGCGACCACAAAGACCAATATCCCAATTCCATGAAGCCCTGAACTGTAACTTTCCCGGGCAACTCTTTGGCATACCACTGCAGCTTCGATCATGTGGGTTTAGGGTTTGTTTCAGACACAGAAAGTGGGCATCGGAGTGGCAAAGGCCTGGATCTTAAGAGCTGCAAAAGCAACCTGCGGACGCATCGATCCTTGAACCTTCTTGCAAGTTTCAGCCGAGTTTTTGGTCCCAGTGGCGTTCGGGGTGGGAGAAAACAGCAGGTGGAGCAGGTCGCCAGGCCGCCTTGCGTGGCCTATCGAGACCCAGGCCATGCATTTCGCCAGTATAGGGGTTTGAAAAAGGTCACAGAAGTAATGATTTCCCTTCTGTAGTCCCTTTATATTATGTGATGAGGGCGTGAGTCCTTGCACCTAGGTTCAGGTACAGGGTGGGGACCTGAAGACTAGACTGGGATTTCGCAGAGTTTCGAGGCTATGGTTAAGAGTTTCTTGCGTGGAGACACT